GATACAGCGATGATTGTACCGTCCTGCTTCACGGCCACATCCTGAATGCAACAACTGCCCTCAACGACCTTCCAACTGCCAGAATAAATTGACGTCTTAGTATATAGTTGATTGTCTTCACCGACTCCAAGTAAGCTACCGTCAGGCATAACTGCAATTCTCATCATACAGCATGAACTTCGAAGAGGACCATCCCACTTTCTATCAGAATAACCTTTGGTGTACAACTTCATATCTTCGCCAGTACCAATCAATGCAGGCCCTGAAATAAGACCATATTGCATTGCGAGTTTTTTGTATCAAATTGTATCCATTGATATATGTAACTACAAAAGCGATTCATCTTGTAATGACTAATTCATATTTACCATTATAGTTTCTGGGAATCCGACCACCAATATTTGCCTATTCAGAAAGTATTGATATTAATAGGAGATTATTATTAATATATATTTTTTTTCAGTACAAAATAAATCGTACGAGACCACAGAGCAGGGGCAGTATATTGATATGACCGTGCAATATTATAACTATACAATAATAAGAGAAACATGATACTATAGACAGCATGTGACTAAAGTTAATTCAATAGACCTGTTTTTCTCTATTCTATTACTCCTGAGACCGTAATACATGTTAACAGCCAACAACTTTGGGATTTGTTCATGATAGGGTAATTGTCATCAACAAGGGTGTCTCTTTACAACTATTTTTAGACATTGTTATTTCACTATAATATCGACTAATATGCATTTACCTGAACTTCGTTGTCGGGTCTGCCTTATTTTATTTTATTTTTCTTGTATCGTAATCCTAGAATTTGCCCGAGCATGACAAACTGACTACCAACACACTTTGTCTGTTCCTGCCAAAATTTGCATTCGTTTTTGGAATCACACACAAAAAGTTTAATATTAATAAACTAATGAACAGCACTAAAATGAGACAGCCATTTTAAATTAGCGTTAGTAAAAATAATCTCATGTTCAATGTAGATGTTGTTTGATTATATTCATTTCAAAAACTTAACTCAGCATTCATTTAATACAAAATTATGCCTGTTTGAATCAAACCTTATGCTTCTCTTATATGACTAATGTACAATGAGGTTGTTGCCCAAATATGAACTGCATCAACTGCCGATAATGGGCGGTAACCAATAACAATATAAAACTGAACCGTGAAACTAATGCTCGTGCACATGTCATTTAGGATTTATGTGTGATGCTTGAATTAGATAGTATTAGACATGTGAAAAATAAAGATGTGGCCAGAAAAGACGCACGAACCGACGCCGTACGGTGTCCGCATTGTACAAAACGGCGGTCATTCAATTGGTTCCCTGAATAGGTTTTCGGAATGGGAGCCAAAAAACATATCTGTGTAGCCTGAATCACGAGTTATTACATAACTCACAGAATCAAGATGAGTAATGCACCAATGATTTCATCTCAAACTGTACAAGCTATTAAATTATAGTTTATTACTTCACAAAGTTTAGAAACGCATTCAAAATTTGATAGTACAAAAGTAGATTGAAGACGATGGGCAGGATGTATTACATTTGCGATATCACGTTTTTTTTCTTCTCAGTGGACATCCTCACAAAGCACCGGGCATAAAAATTACGAATCTACATAATATAAATGATAGAAAATGCTTCTAAGTTAAGTAAATGTTAAACTATTTATGCTTACTGAACATCTATTATACAACTCCTCAAGGAGCGATGAGCATCAAAAAGATATAACAAATATACTAGGTTTAATGTACTTTAGTAGGAATTCCATCACATTGTCAGTAACTGTGTTTCACGACCAGTGAGTGGTGTGTTTTGTGAGTTTCATCATCACATAACAACAATAAGCTTGAAAGTGGACACATTGAATGAAGCATTACGACTCATTCTTTAAATAAGGTATACACTGTAATCCAGAAATGTGACAGAAATTGTAGTAACGGAAACAGTGACTGTGGATGTGAACAAGAATTCCCGGGAAAAATCAGACCGCATAGCCAAAATAAATATTTACAACGTTTCTTTGTTGCTCGAACCGATGTAGTTGTCTGGCCACCTAAATGTACAGAGCATCGCTCATATGCCGTCACTTCAACTGATGAACAGTAATGTATATATCACATATAATATAAAGCAGACCAACAACACGTGATTTATTTTTCAATTTATGCTTAGCAGTCTAATTAATGTTTTAGTTAATGGTGAATTGCAGTCGAATTAGTTTAAACACTTATAAACACCATGTTGCAACATTGTAATACACATTGAATGTTAAACATTGATAAACAAAGAGAACATAGTTAGGAA